ATGCAAAAAAGTATTGGCTTTACGAAAAATGTTTTCTACATTAATAGGAAAGCTAGTAAACAGGGTGGTTAGATTTGGGGAAAATTCCCATTTGTGTAGGAAAATGTGGGGGAAAACATTCTTTTAATGAAGGTCCACATATACAGATGAGGACATTTAACGTGCTCTGTTACTAGCTTCTTAAGATATATTTAATCATTAAACCTACTTTTTAACGACGAGTGATTCAGGAGTCCATTGTACAGGCTTTAGTTTTAACCATAAATCCCTCATTAGAAGGATATTAACCCAATCAGGACCGCAAGGGCGACATTGTCACCTCTGTTTATTTTGTCTTCATGCTTAAAACACTGGCCCTAATTGCATGAAATTTGGTGCATACTTTATATATAATATCTAGCTTGTAGTTTAATAATAATAATGTATTATATTATTTTCCGTAGTATTTGAGGTTGTGAAGTTTAGGAAAGTTTTTTGCAAAATACCTTTTTTTTGTTAAAAATATTTCCTTTGGTCTTAGAGTTTCTGTTTGTTGTTAATGTGTGTCTAAGATCCTGTAAGTGTATGCAACAATTTTGTTTATTCACTTATATTTTAAATCTATTTGAAGTACGCCTAATAATCCATGTAGTATGCAAAAAATTATAATAATGTTTTAATTCTCATTCTTGAACAATGCATTATACACATATTAATGAGGAAAAATTGCCGAAAATAGCTTAAAATGTGGGATGTTTTATTGACCGGTAGGGGATTGTGAGAGAAGTGTCTGGCAATCTTGTCGACCATTAAATTCTCTCCATGAGAATCTGTATGGAAAATCTAAAGTTGATTATGTAAGATGTATTATATTACGTTTAATATCGTGTAAATAAAATATAAACTAATTAATTTATGTGTAAAAAAGTTGGCATATAGTTACCACTATGCCATGTATTTAAAAAAAAAAATCTTGAACTTATTGAAACTTGCCCAGTTGTTTACAAAAACTATACTTATCCAAGTTCAACCTTGACCTTATCCACGATACTAGCCACTGAAATGTACACAAAGCAATGCAGCTGCTTCCAGGAGAACTTGTGCTCACGTGACCGGAAGTTCACCCCTATTGTAGCGGAACACTGAAACAAACTATCATTGAAGTCTTTAATTAATTACATGTTTATTCATACAAATTAATTTTACTCTCATAGTTTTAAAGATCAATAATACACTTTAAGGTGTTATGTACTACGTTTCATATATACTCTACGTATTGTAACCTTCACACTTCAAAATATAACGTTAAATCGGGGGGTTGGGGGGGGGACGATGTTACACATGAGTTCCGTAAAACGCTCCTAAAAGTAGAACCAACTCGTGCATCAAAAATTCTTTATTCACACATGCTTAACAGAGAATTGCTAAAAAAATTCAAACTTTACTGAGAAAAAACAACAATATTTATATTCGATGACGAGGAATCCACTTTGAGACTAATAATAATGCTTTGAGACGGCTTGAACGAGTAATGAAGTACAACTTTAATATAAGTTTAACATAACAGCAAATGTACAACGTTTCGACAAGGTTATATCATCATTTATAGTTCCAGCTTACGTACAAGTACAATATCCAATACAGAATGACTGTACAATTAAGTGAGCGTAAATTAAGTCCAATTAAAGAAAGCATAGTTAAGATCAAGTAAAGAAAAATACGACGTTGTTTATAATTTTAAAAATTGTTTAATTCTTACGTAAGTTTTACAGTATTACTGCATCTTTTAATGTGATCTATCTTATTTTTCAGTTGAAGTGGAACCTATCTATTTACCCTATGTTGTGTCTGTGCTTTCTACAGTCACGATGAACACATAACGATAACAGAATCCGTTTGTTGTTTTTTTAATGCAAGATCTGTTATCTACTTTGTCTGTTTGCTGTGGGTGTGTCTCCTGGTGGGACAGCGGTAAGTCAACCGATTAACAACACTAAAATGATGGGTTCGATTCCCCTCAGTGGACATAGCAGGTAGTCCGAAGTGGCTTTGCTATAAAAAAAACACGCGCACTCATTCTGGAGATGCTATCATCCGCTTCGTTTCTAAGCGCAAGGTATAATTTTTACTGCTTTTTCCATTTGCAATTTTTTTTTTCAAATAAGACACTATAAAATCCGGGCGAATGAGTCAGAAGTATAAAGTTCATCCCTGAAGGGGGAAAGTATATCTTTCGAAAGCTATCAGTTTACTGGGTTTCTTATTTCGTAACCCCTAAGTGGCACAGCGGTATATCTGCGGACTTACAACGCTAAAAACCGGGTTTCGATACTCGTGGTAGGCAGAGCACAGATAGCGCATTGTGTAGTTTTGTGCTTAACTTCAAACAAACAAAGTTATTTTGTAACTCTCCAGTTTCTTAGTATTATAAGTGAGATTTCTCCAGTTACAATATAAATGTTTTACTTAGATGTGAACTTTTCTTCGGTGTCTGTTTCTCCTTAATTTCATGCTATTTTCTTTACTACCTAACAACAAAATATTTATGTTTTTCCTCTCTTAAAATATTATTAGTATCAACATGATATATCAATAATTATAATTTATCAATTATTCAACTTCTCGTCTGTTGTTATCGTTTGTTGAAAATTCCACACACACCCCCCCCAAAAAAAAAAGAGTTTAGGCAATTTATGGAAGCAAGACAATAGGACTATTGTAGTGATATATGTCATAGCTCCGTAACAATAATTCATAAAGATGAATACGCTGCAAACATTTACCAAAGTAATCACTCACAAAAGCTTACAAAAACTATACTTCCTCTAAGACCCTTTTCTTCAAGGAAGGTCACATAGGTAATTTAAGCCTTCCTACTTTTGTCAGGATTGTGATGGACGTCCAAAGGTTAAATTAGTATAAAAATGGTAATTGTTAATTAATTTTATTAGGCTTGCTAGCAACTACAAAGGCGATTAGGAAAATGAATCAGCAAAGGAAACTCGTAAATCCTGGATATACCTCCTCTTCTTGGGCCGTGGTAGATACTGAATCTCTTACTCACGAAAAGAGTACATTAAAAGATAAATTTCTAATTATTATAATTTAAATGACTAGTTGAAATCACTTTCGATTCAGCTGAAAAACCTGGAAAATTAACAGGGTATATTTAAATGCAACTTCTTTCTCGGTTCATAGATAAGCTCGTGAAGTACCACAATATTTGATACTTTTAAATAACACACAAGTTTTAATATTTTAAACATACCATTTCCGAAGGCTTTGAGGATGATAGTGTTTTGCACCCATAGCATTAAAAGTTAAATTATTTCGAACAGTTTTTATTATGTACACTAGATGGCAGAGGAGTCTGCACTGAGTTTCTAAATGATATATCAATAAACAATTTCATATCTGAGGGTTTCTCACAAAACTAATTATTTTAGAAGCATACATATGTATTTCATATATATATATAAGAATATTATTCTATTTTAGAAAAAAGAAACGGCCATTCCTTTAAAAAAAATAAGTAAAGTTATTAATACAAATAAAAAATGCATCAAACAAATATAAGGTTTCACATAGATTCTTTAAAATATTCAAAGTATATTTTGATCTTTAAAACATTATCCGATTTATTTTTCGTTTGAAAACTTATAGTTTAACATAAAAAAGTCGTAAATTAAAATTTCAGGGAATTACTACATTTCTATGTATATTCTCAGTTATTTTAATTGTCATTACTGAATTATATTAACAAAATATTTTCTGCATCTGATTAAAGAATTATACTTGGTCTAAGAGCTTTTACATGAACTTTGACGAATAAAGAAGTCAAATATTATAACATTAAAATTCTTATACGACAGTACAACTTTTAATAAGGGCCAAGCAAAGATTAATTTCATAGAGCACTTTCAAGTCAGACTAGGGTCTTAGTGTGGACTCCTACATTTCTTAGACGAGAATCTCCCAAGCACGTTATTTTACACAAGAGTTCCTTTCATCCTTGAAATTGGTTTACTCCACCACAGCCAGAGAGTAGGCACAAACATATAGCAAAACTTCTAATAAATATACATTAAAGTATGTAACCTTTACTTAAACCAGAGTAGTGTATATGTTTACAATCTCTGTACATCTAGTTTACTGCACTAGAGCATTCGCATGGAAATTTAGACAAAAATACTTGAATACATATGAATAAAGATATATTCTATACTTCTTACATAGGAGCAAAATATGATAATATTAATATTCTCACACACGTTTCATATTTCATTATATACTAACACAAAGTTAACAAATCTGAGAATTAACTTTAGTGAAAAGTAATCAGGAAACTGATATAAATTATAACTCATTTAGCGATTTTCGCACATTTTCTAAAGCCACACCAAAGTATGAGGTATTTAGTTATCAGCTATACTGTACATCATAGGTCAAGCTTAAAACTCTTTCGCTGTTCTGTTATTGTAAAAATAAGTCTTTAATGACGCCTCACTCGGTAATTTGAAACTTAGAATAGCAACTTTATTTCTCATAGTTTTAAATTTCATTTCCTTTAAGCGTTAAGATGATCTGATATGTGTGTGTGTGCGCGCGCGTGCCCATGAAAGTTGCTTTGTAGCTTAAAATAAAAGTATTCTCCTTGCCCTGATATGCATATTAATGTTTATATTGAGGCATTCACCTCGGAAAGTATGTGATCAAATACAAAACAAAAAACTAATTTGCATTGTCTCTGGATAATAACTATATACCATGAGAAAGTATACAGACGCCAGTTTGCTTTAAGATATTGAAAGCGCTAACAAAAAATATTCAAAATGAAAATATGAAGCACAAGCTTGTGATGAGGTATAAATTGCCCGAAATACACAAGCGGATCCATTTTTGAGGCTTAGCCTTAGGAAATTTATTTTTATCCTAATTGTTTACGTAATTTAGTGAATTTATTTTTATTAACTATGCACATTAAACTTAAAGGAAATGTGCATATAGTGCTCTATGTTTCTGATTTGATTTTTGAAACTTTAGAGGTCGTTGTATGTTGTTTTTGTAGAAAGAGCAATGGAGGGATTCGAAGGAGATAGGTAAGTTCATGTGATTCACATAACAACATAATATTTAGGAACAACAAGGGACCTATTCGTCCATCTAGGCTGTCCCATCTACTAAAGTAGACTAAATTCACTAAAAGAAAATCTGAAAGTCAGCACTTATTATTCATATATTTAGCAAGTCTTCCCTTAAAATGTTAAATTAAAATGTATTTACTGCTTCCAGTTTCCACCACATCCGAAGGCAACTCATCCAAAGACCAACTACCTTGTTAGAAAAATAAACAACTGTATTAGCTGAAGATAACCTCTACCGTGCCAAAATTTATATTTGTTCCCCTTAGTCCTACGAATACCATTCTCACCATGAAAAAAGATGTTGCATTAACACTATCAATTCCCTTAACAATCTTTTAAGTTAAACATCCCAGGTATCATCCTAGTACTAGTAACCCTCCTCTTAATTCTTTCTAACAATTCAATGTCTTTCCTAACGTAATGCGCCCAAGACTGAACACAATACTCCAGATGTGGCCTAACCAATGATCTATACAATGAAATTATAACCTCTATACTTGTATTCAATATTTCTGTAGATACATCCTTAAATCCCATTTGCCCTACCACTAGCAACAACAACATTATTAAGGTTATTCCCATTCAAATTATACTTATAATTAAAATTATGATAAC